CTATAGACTAGACTATAGACTAGACTATAGACTAGACTATAGACTAGACTATAGACTAGACTATAGACTAGACTATAGACTAGACTATAGACTAGACTATAGACTAGACTATAGACTAGACTATAGACTAGACTAGACTATAGACTAGACTATAGACTAGACTATAGACTAGACTATAGACTAGACTATAGACTAGACTATAGACTCGACTATAGACTAGACTATAGACTAGACTATAGACTAGACTATAGACTAGACTATAGACTAGACTATAGACTAGACTAGACTATAGACTAGACTATAGACTAGACTATAGACTAGACTATAGACTAGACTATAGACTAGACTATAGACTAGACTATAGACTAGACTATAGACTAGACTATAGACTAGACTATAGACTAGACTATAGACTAGACTATAGACTAGATTATACTAGACTATAGACTAGACTATAGACTAGACTATAGACTAGACTATAGACTAGACTATAGACTAGACTATAGACTAGACTATAGACTAGACTATAGACTAGACTATAGACTAGACTATAGACTAGACTATAGACTAGACTATAGACTAGACTATAGACTAGACTATAGACTAGACTATAGACTAGACTATAGACTAGACTATAGACTAGACTATAGACTAGACTATAGACTAGACTATAGACTAGACTATAGACTAGACTATAGACTAGACTATAGACTAGACTATAGACTAGACTATAGACTAGACTATAGACTAGACTATAGACTAGACTATAGACTAGACTATAGACTAGACTATAGACTAAACTATAGACTAGACTATAGACTAGACTATAGACTAGACTATAACTATACTATACTATACTAGACTATACTAGATAGACTATAGACTAGACTATAGACTAGACTATAGACTAGACTATAGACTAGACTATAGACTAGACTATAGACTAGACTATAGACTAGACTATAGACTAGACTATAGACTAGACTATAGACTAGACTATAGACTAGAATATAGACTAGAATATAGACTAGACTATAGACTAGACTATAGACTAGACTATAGACTAGACTATAGACTAGACTATAGACTAGACTATAGACTAGACTATAGACTAGACTATAGACTAGACTATAGACTAGACTATAGACTAGACTATAGACTAGACTATAGACTAGACTATAGACTAGACTATAGACTAGACTATAGACTAGACTATAGACTAGACTATAGACTAGACTATAGACTAGACTATAGACTAGACTATAGACTAGACTATAGACTAGACTATAGACTAGACTATAGACTAGACTATAGACTAGACTATAGACTAGACTATAGACTAGACTATAGACTAGACTATAGACTAGACTATAGACTAGACTATAGATTAGACTACAGACTAGGCTAAATATATAACATTTATTCCAACCCACCGTGTATCGATATGTTCCTCATATAGAAAATATTTAAGGAAAAATTAAATGTAAAAAGGCCTTCTAAGGGGCATATTTTGCAGACCTTTTCCTGACTTTCTTCAAACTAATTTCCTATTGGATTTTGGCACTTTTTTCCAAAGAAATTTCTAGAAAACTTAAGAAAGAGAAACTAGAAACAAAAAGTCTAAAATTTTTCCGAAGTTATGATTTAGCCTCTAATAAGGCCTCAAAACTTTTGTCCTTATAATATAATTTCCTTCGAAAGATGTCAGTTCTAATGCGTGTTCGAGTAAATGTTTTGTGTATTTAAGTTTTTACGTAATTCTCTACTCCTTCTTCAGTAGACATTTAATCAATTAAAGAGGATTGTAGGTATAAATGTGTAAATTACTTTTATTATTTTTCCGTCAGTTACTCATTTGCACACCAACACACTTGTTGTTTGTTTTGTAGGTGAAAAGTTGTTCATTTTATTGTTGTTGTTTTTGTTGGGGTTAAAGTTAACTAAGCACTGTCATAACGTTGGAAATATTTTAAATTTATCCCTTGAGACTGAAAAACAACAACTTTTAATTGGTTTCCTAAAACACATACACACTCATGTGGTGCTTCCGTTCATTCACAAAAATTCTCTAATGAAAGTAATGAGAAAGTGTTATTGCACTTAATGTCACATTGTAGCATAATTTTAGGCTTTAATTAGGACAAAGTGTGTGTTAAAAGTCATAATTTCTCAAAAACCAAAAAAAAAAAACAGTTGCGGTCAAATGTCTCATTGACTTGGGGTAATTAATGTGCACACAAACAGCAGAACATCCGCAGGAATTCAGTGTGCGTAATAAGTAATACTACGTACATACACTTTAGTAATGTGGGTAAAAGTAATAACAAGGAAATTCTACTATGGGATCCCACACCCCTTTGTAAAATTCTACATATTACTTCCTGCTTTTGATTGTTATTTAAACTTTTCCAAGTATAGATTTACATCTCAAGTATTCAGCTAAATGCCAACACCATCACCCATTGGGCGTAGGTGTCCATTTTTGTCCGCAAACTATTATTAATGGTTGCGATAAAGTGTTTTGACGGTTAATTATGTTCGCAGCATGATTTTAAGGTGAAATGTAAGGAGTTGATTGTAAGTGTTTTTGAGAATATATCACGTTATGTGGTTGTTATTGACACAATATTGTTGTGGTTTTGTCCATAAAGTATTAGAAATAAATCTTAAGCGATGATTTTAAAATTCATTTAATTTGTATGAACAAATAACAGAGATTTACTTAAATATACATTTATACCAACTAACTAGACTATAGACTAAACAATAGACTAGACTATAGACTAGACTATAGACTAGAATATAGACTAGACTATAGACTAGACTATAGACTAGACTATAGACTAGACTATAGACTAGACTATAGACTAGACTATAGACTAGACTATAGACTAGACTATAGACTAGACTATACTAGACTATAGACTAGACTATAGACTAGACTATAAACTAGACTATAGACTAGACTATAGACTAGACTATAAACTAGACTATAGACTAGACTATAGACTAGACTATAGACTAGACTATAGACTCGACTATAGACTAGACTATAGACTAGACTATAGACTCGACTATAGACTAGACTATAGACTAGACTATAGACTAGACTATAGACTAGACTATAGACTAGACTATAGACTAGACTATAGACTAGACTATAGACTAGACTATAGACTAGACTATAGACTAGACTATAGACTAGACTATAGACTAGACTATAGACTAGACTATAGACTAGACTATAGACTAGACTATAGACTAGACTATAGAGACTATAAACTAGACTATAAACTAGACTATAACTAGACTATAGACTAGACTATAGACTAGACTATAGACTAGACTATAGACTAGACTATAGACTAGACTATAGACTAGACTATAGACTAGACTATAGACTAGACTATAGACTAGACTATAGACTAGACTATAGACTAGACTATAGACTAGACTATAGACTAGACTATAGACTAGACTATAGACTAGAAGATAGACTAGACTTAGACTAGAGATAGACTAGACTTAGACTAGACTATAGACTAGACTATAGACTAGACTATAGACTAGACTATAGACTAGACTATAGACTAGACTATAGACTAGACTATAGACTAGACTATAGACTAGACTATAGACTAGACTATAGACTAGACTATAGACTAGACTATAGACTAGACTATAGACTAGACTATAGACTAGACTATAGACTAGACTATAGACTAGACTATAGACTAGACTATAGACTAGACTATAGACTAGACTATAGACTAGACTATAGACTAGACTATAGACTAGACTATAGACTAGACTATAGACTAGACTATAGACTAGACTATAGACTAGACTATAGACTAGACTATAGACTAGACTATAGACTAGACTATAGACTAGACATAGACTAGACTACTAGACTATAGACTAGACTATAGACTAGACTATAGACTAGACTATAGACTAGACTATAGACTAGACTATAGACTAGACTATAGACTAGACTATAGACTAGACTATAGACTAGACTATAGACTAGACTATAGACTAGACTATAGACTAGACTATAGACTAGACTATAGACTAGACTATAGACTAGACTATAGACTAGACTATAGACTAGACTATAGACTAGACTATAGACTAGACTATAGACTAGACTATAGACTAGACTATAGACTAGACTATAGACTAGACTATAGACTAGACTATAGACTAGACTATAGACTAGACTATAGACTAGACTATAGACTAGACTATAGACTAGACTATAGACTAGACTATAGACTAGACTATAGACTAGACTATAGACTAGACTATAGACTAGACTATAGACTAGACTATAGACTAAACTATAGACTACGATAGACTATACTTATATACTAGACCTAAGACTAAACTATAGGACTAGACTATAAGACTCGACTATAGACTAGACTATGACTAGACTATAGACTAGACTATAGACATACTAGACTAGACCTATAGACTAGGACTATAGACTAGACTAGAGACTAGACTATAGACTACACGATAGACTACACTATAAACTACACTATAGACTAGACTAGAGGACTACACTAGAGTGTCCGGTCTATAGACTAGACTATAAATTAGACTATAGACTATATATGTATGTATGTGGGACGTAGGAGACATCAAATCGAATATACACCTTTACCAATGTCTCTAGTGGAACTCGATCAAACGATCTTCAGTCTGACAGACTACAAACTCTATATACCTACTTTAGGCTTAAAAAGCTTTAAAGAGAATGAAATTGTCTGAATCAGATCAAAATTTTCTACATAAACTGAGTCTTTACCGAACAAATCAAAACCAATCCCAAAGTTCCAGTGAAAACAGGTCTAATATTATATTATATGTATTATTTCAGGTTCTATTCTTAAGTAATAATAAACAATTTGTCACAAAAAGTGGACTTAGTTCTTTTCCATTAATAAAATTAAAATAAATATTTATTTCATTTATCGTTACAGTTTTCCCCTTTAAATCAATCAACTAAAACACAATGCATATGACAATTTCCCTCAATCAGCCTTGGGCCTATTTGTTCACCCTACAAATTTACTGGCTATGACTCTACTAAGCACAAATCTAGGAACGGTCTGTGCTAATGCTGTTACTCCCGAAATTCCCACAGTTAGCGACAATGAAAATGAATTTATGATGGATAATGATGATGATATGGTGCATTCATGGGATAAGAGAGAGGCACAAACATGGGGTGATTTATGCATCCATGGGGTAAGAGGAAGCCAATTTTGATAGCGCCATGATGGAAAATGGAGAAGTGGTGCCAGTATTGGCATTTTTTTGCAAATCCCGCCGCTAACTATGAAAACAATGATGTCGAAAATGAGAATATTCTGAATGAAAAGAGAGGTTGGAAGAAAATGAATGTTGCCTGGGGTAAGAGACGTAATGCTGGACCCTACATGAATAGAGGTGAGATTTCGTTAGTTTAGTAACTGCAAGTAATTGTTAAAATTTATTATATATAGATTTTGTACCTTCTGCTGCAGGCGCCAGTTCGTGGGGTAAACGTGAACCCAATTGGATAATTTGAAGGGAATGTGGGGCAAGCGGGCCGGCAATAAGGAATGGCGTAAATTAGCTGGTAGCTGGGGTAAACGCTCAGGACAATTAGCTGAAAAAACCAATAAATTCGGAAAAAACCATAAGACAACAAGGATTCTATATGTAAAGTAATTAAAAAAACCTAAAACTAAAAAACTATAGTGGCTGCTGGTATTTTGAAAATAATTTAAACACTTTTTTAAACTTTAGTAGAAAACAACATGAAATATGAATTAATATGTATAAAAAACTAAATCCAAAATATATATACTATTATACAAATAACTAAATATATTAGTAATAAGTTCAAATATTAATATCAATAAATAAATAATATATAAAATATTCAATATTATTAACATTTATTTAAAACTTTATAATTATGTATTTGAAAGTAATTAAATAAAATTGCATGAAAGCCTTTAATTATTTCCTATTACATGTATTTAGTTAAAACATTTTCCTTAACAAAACAATGTAAAATATTTAAAAACTTAAAACAGTATTATATGTAATTACAAATAAAGTTGTAATGATTATAATTTTACAAAAATTATAATTTAATAAAAAAAGCTATTGTATTATAGGGGAAACTTCTGATGATTGAAAAAAATGTAAAAAAAAAATCGAAAAACAACTCTGGCAAATTATATAAATAAATTATTGAATAAAATCAATTAGTTTTTAAAATAATAAAATGGTAAAAAATATTTAAAGCTATAATATATTAAAATTTAGACAACATTCTGTTTATGTACGATGAATGGAGGCTGAGTTCGCAAGACCTGGAAATGTTTAAGCAACAATTTTAATTATTAAATAAAAAATAAAACTAATAATGTTCAATTATAAAAATGCAACAATAAATAAAGTAAAAAAAAAACGATTATATATTTTTTATTTATTAAATGAACTAACTAACTAACTAACTAACTAACTAACTAACTAACTAACTAACTAACTACTAACTAACTACTAACTAACTAACTAACTACTAACTACTAACTAACTAACAATAACTAACTACTAACTAACTAACTAACTAACTAACTAACTAACTAACTAACTAACTAACTAACTAACTAACTACTAACTAACTAACGAACTAACTAACTAACTACTAACTAACTAACAACTAACTAACTACTAACTAACTAACTAACTAACTAACTAACTAACTAACTAACTAACTAACTAACTAACTAACTAACTAACTAACTAACTAACTACTAACTAACTAACTAACTACACTAACTAACTAACTAACTAACTACTAACTACTAACTAACGAACTAACTAACTAACTAACTAACTAACTACTACTAAACTAACTAACTAACTACTAACTAACTAACTAACAACTAACTAACTAACTAAAGACTAACTAACTAACTAACTAACTAACTAACTAACTAACTAACTAACTAACTAACTAACTAACTAACTAACTAACTAACTAACTAACTAACTAACTAACTACTAACTAACTAACTAACTAACTAACTACTAACTAACTAACTAACTAACTAACTAACTAACTACTAACTAACTAACTAACTAACTACTAACTAACTAACTAACTAACTAACTAACTAACTAACTACTAACTAACTAACTAACTAACTAACTAACTACTAACTAACTAACTACTAACTAACTAACTAACTAACTAACTAACTAACACTAACTAACTAACTAACTACTACTAACTAACTAACTACTAACTACTAACTAACTAACTACTAACTAACTAACAACTACCTAACTAACTAACTACTAACTAACTAACTAACTAACCTAACTAACTAACTAACTAACTAACTAACTAACTCACTAACTTAACTAACTAACGAACTAACTAACTAACTAACTAACTAACTAACTAACTAACCTAACTAACTAACTACTAACTAACTAAACTAACTAACTAACCTAACTAACAACTAACTAACTAACTAACCTAACTAATAACTAACTAACTAACTAACTAACTAACTACTACTAACTACTACTACCTAACTAACTAACTACTACTAACTAACTAACTAACTAACTAACAACTAACTAACTAACTACTAACTAACTAACTAACTAACTATCTAACTACTAACTAAACTAACTAACTACACTAACTAATACTAACTAACTAACTAACTAACTAACTAACTAACTAACTAACTAACAAACTAACTAACTAACTACTAACTACTAACTACTAACTAACTAACTAACTAACTAAACTACTAACTAACTAACTAACTACTAACTGACTACTAACTAACTAACTACTAACTAACTAACTAACTAACTAACTAACTGACTAACTAACTACTAACTAACTAACTAACTGACTAACTAACTAATTAACTAACTACCTAACTAACTAACCGACCAACTAACTAACTACCTAAGTAACTAACTAATTTTTGTAAAATCTTACAACGAATTTTTTATAAATAAATTAAGTGATAAATCAGGATTTCATAAAATTGAAGAAAGAAATTAATATTTGTCTTCCGGCATACTTTTTTAAACATATTTTTACATTTATTATTATTTAATAATTTACATTTAATGTCAAAAGCAACCTTTTTCATTTATGTATTTAAAAAAAAGTCAAATGACATATTCAAAATTAACGTTTTATTTTAATTATACAGCTCTGTAAACTGCCAGTGTAAGCACGCCCGTAGTCCGAAGCAAAACTATATAGTACAGACAACAACCATTACGTGTAAAAAATGCCTTTCATTAGTTTGTTCAAAAACCCATTCCATTAATTTTTTCCAATTTTTGCTGAGCTCAGCAAAAAAATTTCCAGCAAAGCTACTGAGAGGCGGGGTATCTCAGCAAAATCGTCCCATAAGAAATGTACGTGTCTGTGTGTCATCCCAGTAAATTTTTGCTGAGCTTGGTTGGCTCAGCAAAAATTTCCATTTGAATAATGGAAATGACGCCACAAGGAATGGAAATGACTTTTGTCTGTTTTTGAAACTGATGCTGTTATTATGTATATCTCGTTGATATGAAAACGAAAAAATTATTTCGAAATGTGCATACAATTTGATACAGTACTCATACATATTTGGAATTTTTGAAATTTGTTTTGTAGATTTTCGGCAAAAAATTGTTAGTAAAAAAAATTTGGCAAAATTAGCGGTTTCTGAAAACGGAAAACAGTGAATAACTAGTTCTATCAAAATCCGGGGATGTCACTTGCAAAAAATTTGGCGTTTCTAGGGTCTTTCAATACAAAGTGAAAAATTTGTATATTTTCGGCAAAAAGTTGTTAGTGAAAAAAAAATCAGGCAAAATTAGCAATTTCTCAAAGCGGAAAATGGATTTCGATTTGTTCTGGTAAAAACCTGCAAACATGACAAGTAAAATGCCCATAGCATTTATATTTAGTTACAATTGTATTAAAAAACGCAGAAAAATAATTATTTAATTATAAAATTCGATTTACTTTCCACTAGATTTGTGTACTCGGTTTTAAAATGAGAAAAATTATGCGAATTCGTTTTTAAAACGAGAAATTTACTCGGATTCGGTTTACAGAACAGACAGGACTATGTAATATTATTTTACCCAAATTGGCCTTTTTATTACTGAATAAATGTAAAATTTTTCAGAAACTGATTTTCTGCAAGATGGTTTATATGGAGGATAGGGTTAAATATCGGCAGATCCTCGTAAAACTTGAAGAAAAGATTTGTTTTTAATTTTTAAGAATTTTTTATCCATCTCTCTGCATAATTTCTTCACACAACTTTTGTACTTGCTCTGTTTTGTGGTTATAAACAATATATTTGCTTCCAAAATCCCACTTTCTGATCTCTCGGATTCCGTTTTTATTTAAAATCGTTGAAAATTTAAAAACTAATCGTAGTTTAAAACTTACAGTCGATTTTAAGATAGCCGCCGCCAACATGTTTAGTGTCAGTCGCCATTAATATTTGTTCGGCGCAGGGGTCTGCGTAACACATAACCTCTACACAACAGCTGGACGGCATTTTATTGCAAAAAAGGCGCCGGGAAAAACAATTTTTATATTTTTATAAGTTTTTGCAGTTAATTATACAAACAAATTAAATAAAATTAGTCTAAAATTGTAAATAAAGAAATGAATTGTATGAATTCATATTGGTAAGTAATATAAACATTTTTTTTACTATAAAAATATGAAAAAGAAATTGAAATTCCTTCATAGCACGCCATTAAAACAAAATGTTTTGGTGGAACAAAGTTTAGATTTAAAAATGAGAGCGTCGAAAGCTAAATATTACCTAAAATGGGGTTCTTTTAATGTGGTCATATTGGCCATATTATTGTTTGACATCAGCAACAAGTGGTCCCTATGCCGAATCCAACTGGTAGTTACCTTGAGTATGGGGTGGCCGCCATAGTGGGGTCTTAGTATGTTGTGGCCAGTTTTCTAAAGTATTTTCTGTACATAGTTTACACACAACCATACAGGGAACCAGGCAGCAGAAAAATCTAATGAAATTTGATGATAATGGTATGTTGAATAAATATATTTCTAATTTCAATCAACCAATTTTGTAATACAACTTTCTTTGTATAGATAATTCCTTTATACACTACTACCCCCAAAAAGAAGGAACAGTTTAGTGATAAACGTCAGGAGCCCTATATCAATAATACCATACTCAGTTGGCATTCTTCTTTCAATGAATGTAAATATTTCTTGTTTTTTATTTCATAAATTTTTATTAATTGCTTTGTACTTCTAGCTCGTGGCGCTAATTCTCCCAATTGGAGTTATACACGCACTAACAACACCACCCCGCCAAAGTCTTAGCCCACAACAGCAGCATCAATTGCAGAATGCTTCTTGGAATTCTTCCATGATGAATAATTCAAATTTCAATGCCAGCGCTATGGAGGATTCCAGCTCACCCGTTTGTTTCTCTTCTCCTTATCAAAAATACGAAAGAGATGAACAGATTACCGATCATATTAGTTTGCAGCGTTATTTAAAGTAAGTAACAGTTTATAAAAAATTCTAAAATGTCGCATGTGTCAACACTTCTTTTTGACATCTTCTTTGGATGAATGAAGTCTTAGTGAAACAAGTCAATGTAACCAATTTCTACTGAAGTAGAACTGAACT